ACTCCGGCGTGCCCGCCAACTTCGGTTACACTCGACTTCTTTCGACATCCCAAACACACGGACATGGAAAACTTTCATTGTGTGCAATTCCAATGGCACAGGGAGAGGGTAAGATTTACCCACGATCTGACAGCACTGGGCTTCACTGTTTTGCGATATAATATCACGTGAGAAGCACTATTTACAGATACGGTATTTTAATATTAATCAAAATTAAATCTCTACATTTGTATCCATGATATTTTTCCATCTTTTTAAATGGTTACAGATAGAAAATATATCCGAATGATAAAACGTTCACAACATTGAACTTTTTGCATACTCAACATATTTCTTTGTCTTTCAGATTTCCATTGGAAGTTTATGATAACAATTCTATTTCAGCTTGTATATTTTCACGTGCTTGTTCTTCGAATTTTTCTCGAAATTCTTTAGTCGCAAAAATATTAGGAATTTGTACAAAATTCTGTAAAACCTGGTAATGAACGAAAACAAAAAAAATATGAAATAGAATTAGGTGTATCAATAAGTTAAATGAATAATAAAGTGTACCTTTAATCGTAATGCTGTATACATTGGTTCACTTAGAAAAGCATACTCTCCACGAATTTTTCCTCTATATTCAGCATAAGTTTCAGGTAAAGAACCTAAAACTGCCATATCTAAATCTAGAAAGTAATGAGCATCTTCACTACCAAATGCACCTCCAACTTTATGAGCTTCTGTACTATGCGTAGCAACAACTTTAAGTAAAGCACATGTTTCTTCTCTTAATTCTGAATCCTAAAAAAAAAAGATACATACAGAAATATTTGTAAAAAATGTGTGTTTTTTTTTTTTTTTAAATCTTTTAAAGATCAAATATCTTTTCTTACCTCACTAATACCAACTTCGTCAGCAAAAGCATTGAAATGTTCTAAATTTTTAATCTCTTCATCTATGACTTTGGGATCATATTCAAAACTATAAAATAAACAATTAATTAATAATAATTTGTAAGAAAAATTGTTAATGTTATTCTTACAATTAGGTTGATCATACTTTTGAAAAAATAGAGCAAGAAGCAATGCTTGTGGATTCTTCAAATTATCCTTTATTTCATGATATTGATTCAACTTTTCGCAAAGCATTTCTATGTTATGATAAGTTCTTTTCTCTTCTGAATAAGCATCTTTTAATTTATTGAACCACAATTCACAAGCATCGTTGTCCAAAGCTTCGGTTGCTTCTTTCCAACTATCTTCAAGTGATGCCATTGTTTCTGTAAAAAACAAAAACAAAAAAAAAGACAAAAATAAGAAATTTATGATCAATAATGCGACCTATATTTAATAATATTATTTTCATTATATTATATATACATATATATATATATATATTTATATTTATTAAAATATAAACGTTTATTATATTTTAATGAAATTCTTTTAATTGTTTGTTTATTTGTAATTGACTGTTATCATAATTTTGTTGACAGATATGTCTGTCTAATATAAGAAGACAAAAATGACACTTTACACACTTTATCACAAATTATAACACAGAATTCACAGAATCAAAGTTAATCTTGATAAAGTTTCAATAAAAACAATATTACATACGTACACTTATTAAAACGTTCAATGATTAATTGTTTAAAGTCATTTAATATAATTATTTTTTAAGAAGTTAAAGTGACGTTAAAAGTACATCGTTGATAGCGCGAATGTCAAACTTGACTGAATCTGACACAAGCCATAAAAGATCGCACCTCATCACATCATTGCCAATTGATTTGATAACAAATACAAGTATTTATAATAATTTTTGAAAAAATCTTATCATTTACATCTAATATTATTATTTATTATATTATCAATAATTTGATTAATTTATATTTATAAGATAAACATTGAAATTTCTTTCTCGCCAATTGCAAATCAGCCTATAATGTGTTAACTAACAATAAGAAATCAAATTAATGTATAATAATTTAAATTTCATTGATATTATTACTCGATATTTTTATT